ACTTCTGGGGGGTTGGGGTGCAAAAGTAACGTTACATATAATGTTGGCATTTACAGCTCTGTCACTGATTGCCAGATTGAGGTAATTCATTTTAGTATGTCTTATTATCACCACTTATTTGAAGAATATGTTAAATCAAAGAATATTCATGTTCATTTTTGTTCAGATCTGGCCTGGGGGCATCAAACACTAGATGGAACACAAGCAAGATGCACATACATCTCAAGACGGATGTCAGGAAATGGTTGGATATAGAAGTGTATCTAAGACAATTAGACCCTGTAAGATGGCATGTGTATGCACACACCTCATAGGTGATCTTGCTATTTAACAGCTGCTTAATTATAGACAGGGGAACAGACTGGTTAGTGCCAGCCGCTAGGTAGTCTACCAGAGCGAATGGGAGGCCCTCACAATTAACACCATGGGCAAGTCTTATTCCTAGGAAAATGCTAGGATTGCTGTTTGCAAGTGTTACTGCATTATATCTTGGTGTGCAAATTGACCATCACCTTACCTTTGAGCCTCAAATCATGTCCCTAAAAAAACATTGTTTTAGACTCCTCAGGAATGTAATCAGAAGAAAGTATCTTTTTAGTAAAGCTCAGCTTAATAATAATAAATAATAATAAATACAACATTTATAAACCGCCTTATAGCTAAATCATATAACTCGATATAATTTAATCCTGGAGATAAACTCCAGTGCTTTCTAAAGCGGCTCTTACATTAACTGAGCTTAGTTTAATTGAAAATTAGACATGACAAGTTCATTTTACCTATGTAAATGCAAAATCAATCAAATGCTAGAGAAAAGAAGTATGTTTTAAGTTTGGTCTTGAAAGATGTAACTGACTCAGCTGATCTTATGTCGTATGGCAAGGAATTAAATACTTTAACTGCACAGTGACTAAAAGCTTTCTCTGTGTTTACATAGTTAGGAGAGGGCGGAAAACTAAGGTAAAAATAATCATTATCAAGACGTACATTTTTAAAACTTTGCTGCCTAGGAGATATCAACTCTTTTAAGTAAGGAGGAGCTATATTATTTAAACACTTGTAGGCAAGTAGGGCAATCTTAAAATCTATTCTAAATCTGACTGGTAGAAAATGAACTTTCTTAAGTAGTGGAGTAGTGTGTGCCTTTCTTCCTCTCCCGAAAATAAATCTTACAGCAGAATTTTGCACCTTCTGTAAACGACTTAAATCATAAGAGCTCAGTCCAAAATATACGCTATTGCAATAATCAATTCTAGAGAGTACTAGAGCATGAACAAGCTGAATCTTAAGGTTAAAAGACAGTTTTGATGCAATAAACCACAAATTTCTGATCTGAATATTACATGCTTGAACCACTGACGTAATCTGATCACTCATTGAAAGATAACTGTCCAAATACAGCCCAAGACTCTTCACAGTTCCACTAACAACATGTGGCTCTTGATCCTTAACAATCTGTAGAGAGGCTGGAATATTTGTTGAGTCAAATTTAGAGGATATAACGATGACTTCAGTCTTAGAAGAATTCAGTTGAAGGAAATTGTTTGTCATCCATTTCTTGATATCAGACATACAGTGTTCCATATTGTGCTCTAGCTGTGATGGGTCATCAGAATCAAGAGTGAAATACAGCTGGGTGTCATCAGTATACAAATGAATACAGCACCCATGCATACTTGCAATGTTCTCAAGATCTTTGGTGTACAATATGAATAGCAGGGGGCCAAGGATTGAACCTTGTGGCACACCTATCTCAAGAACAGTTGCTGAGGAAGACGAATCCTTGACTTTGACACAAAATGAACGGTTAGCCAAGTAGGACCTGATCCATGTAAGAGCAATGCCTGTAATGCCATAAGCAGATCTTAGCTTCTTGATTAATCTTAGGTGATTGACAGTATCAAAGGCAGCACTCAAATCTAGAAGTAAAAGAACAACTTTAGTTTTCTTGTCAATAGTTATCAAGATGTCGTTATGGATTCTGGTTGTTGCAGTTTCACAGCTATGAAACTTCCTATAGCCGGACTGAACTTTAGAAAGCAAGTTGTTATCCTCAAGATAACTGGTGAGCTGTATAGATACACACTTCTCAATGATTTTTGACAAGAATGAGAGATTGCTAATAGGCCTATAGTTAGATAGAGATTCACCGTCAAGGCCACGTTTCTTCAAACTTGGACGAATGAGAGCCTCCTTAAGTTTTATAGGAAACTCACCTTTAACTAATGATTCATTGACTATAAATGAGATCAGAGGAAGGAGTTCTGGGAGACACTTGATGAGAATCTTTGTAGGTATGGGGTCAAGATCACAGAATTTGTTAGACATATTCTTTATGATGCTTACTAGTTCTTCATCAGACACATGACGGAATTGTACTATCTTTGGGCTATTAGAAAGAGGAACAAATTCATCTGAGTTAGGAGAATCTTGGGATTGTTGTTCTAAATAAATGTTGTTGTATATGTTGTCGACCTTTGATTTAAAGAACTGTGCAAAGTTGTTAGCACTCTCAAGATTTGAAGAGCAAGAAAGCAAGAAGGTGTAGTAGTACTAACTTTTTCTTTATTGAGCAACTTATTAACGATGGAATAAGTCTTTTTAGCATCACCTGCACTATCTTGTAACCTTGTTTTGTAGAAGTGATCTCTTGTGGATACAATGACTGAGGATGCTCTCTCTGATGCTTTCCTGTACAGTCGTTTATAATCTGGGCAATCATGATTCTTTTGATACAGTCTCTCAATCTTTCTTCTCATTGCTTTTGCTTGTTGACAGTGTGTAGACCACCATTCAGCGTTATGATCTTTTCTTGGGATGAAAGTTTTTTCTTTAGCATGCTTGTCCAAAATACTGCTCAACTCAGACTCATAGATATCAACTGCACTATCGAGGTCATTGAAGCAATCAGTGTCACATAGTTTTGACTTAAGAATGTCCTCAACAAAAGCATCTAGGTCTATGCAGGCAATGTTTCTGTAAGTAATTGGTTCTAGAGTGCCTATGGGTGCTGGAGATACATTGCAATTGAAAGCAACAAAGTAGTGGTCAGACGATGTACCAGAATCAGTAATGACAGGATCTAGAACTTCAATGCAATCGTGAGTAAAAGAACCATCCCTGGTAATTACAAGATCTAATATGCCCCCATCTCTGTGTGTTGCAGCTGAAATTTGTTGCACCCACCCACAAGACTTAAGTAGTGAATTAAACCTTTGTGCAACTGAATCATTTTCGTCTTCAATGTGGATATTAAAATCACCCATGATCAAGGGCTTTCCAGGTTTGTCTACTAAATCAACCAAGAGTTGCTCAAAGTCAGTTAGAAATTGGGGGATGTTAGCACTCTGAGATGTGGAGGTGCCAGAACGGTAAATTGAAACAATTCGTAGTATATCTCCAGAAGATGATTTGAAGGTACATTCACAAGACTCAAACGTTTTGAATCGCTTGCACTTCTGAGGAGTCACTTTAAGACTTTTCTTATATAGAACAGCAACACCTCCTCCCCGCCCAGCTCTTGGCTGGCTATGAATGGAATATCCAAGTTCTTTCATCTCAGAAAACTTAGCATTGTCATCTTTTCTCAGCCAAGTTTCTGTAGCACAGCAAATATCAGTATCAAAGTCTTCAAGCAATTGCATGACTCCAGCAGTTTTATTGCAGATGGATCTGCAATTGAACAGGGCAAAGTTCATACTCTGACATTCTGACTTAGAGTTTGTAGCTAGTTTTTTGAAGTAAGGATGTTTTGTTTATACCGATTCAATGCCTGTTGCATGATGGGGCACTGCTCTGAGCTGGAATGGTGAGTGTTACAGTGAGATGAGATTCTTGGATCTTTTGACAGACTGCAATTGCGACATCTATGTCTGCTAGGGTCTTCCTTGTAATGACAGTCTGATGTTCTATGCCTACCGCTGCAATACATACAAACCAGAGTTTCTTTCTCAGGACAATTTTGGGAAATATGGTGGAGCTTCTGACAATTATAGCACTGCTTGATGATGAATCTATCCTTTACAGGACAAGCACTATTCAGAATGAAGATTTTGCCGTCTCCTGTCAATAGGTTCCTAATCTGAGGAGAGACCTTGATCCCAGCAGTAGTGTACCTTAGTCCAACATTTATGTACACAATTTCAAAGAAATGCTCATTATCTAGCAAGTGTTTAAGTCCAGGATTTTTCAAGGGAATAATATCTAGAAGAGCTTTTTTAGTCTGTAACCGGAAATCTTCAGCGGGCAAACCAGAGCTTATTGTTAATAGCATTATCGTCTGCAAATTGGATTACTGCAACGCCCTTTATTTTGGAATCAGTGACTACCTCATCCATCAGCTTCAACTCATTCAAAATGCTTCTGCTAAAGCTATAGTAGGACTATATAATAAACATGATCATTTAGGAGATACTCTGAAAGACCTTCATTGGCTGCCTATCAGTTACAGAATTAGTACAAATTTTTACTTCTTGTTTATATTTATGTCTTAATGGTATGGGACCAGATTATTTAAGTACAATGTTTAAATTTGCAAACTATAATCATCTTATCTATTTGACTGAACCTAGAGTGCACACACAACATGGAGAAAGATCTTTTGAGAAAGTTGGCCCTAAATTATGGAATGAACTACCATTTGAGATTAAGAATTGTACAACATTGGACTCTTTTAAAATGTATCTGAAAACATTTCTTTTCAAACGTGCTCATAATATTGTATCTTAATATTTTTCAATCCTAGTTTTCCCTAATTGGTTCTACTGGAAAATGCATGTACACATTATTGTTTATTTAGTGTATCAAGTCTAATCACCCTTATCTGGTTTAGAATATAATGTGCCAGGTTACTTTTTCAGGTTTTATTGTATCCTGAACTGTTTTCATGGCACACATGTGCATTTTAAGTTGTTGTGCAGTTGTGCCACTATAATATAATATAATATAAAGTTTTATATTAGTTTTACTTTTAAATATTAATATTGATAGTACGAAATTTGTAGAATGTAAAGTGCTTTGTACTTTAAAGATGGATTCTGCAAGTAAGAATCCTACCGAAGATACTCCTCATTCAGAGATCAGGAAATACCCTTTACGAGACAAGATTAGGACTGCTCAACGCGTCTTTTGTGAGTAAAAATGTTTGAATTAAACATGCTTTATCTGACATAATTTTATCAGTAATAATGATTTGGTGTTTTGACACACTCTTGTACTTTAAACGAATAACCGTAAAAACTCTGTGGCCCATTTTATGCCATTTGCATTTATAGTGTGGCTGTGTGCGCGGTGGGCCGTGTCTATGGTTGAAATCTCATCTATGCGTGATTAAAATTCCGTTACACACGGATCAAAAATACAGAATATTGCCCGTGTTCAATAATAATAATAATATTCCATTTCTTCTTTTTGTTATCCCCTAGTCCCTGGGGTTGCAGCTAAGACAGGGCCAGAGAAAAATTACGGACTGCCAAGGTTTGATGCTAGTCGAGACCTCTTGTAGTAACCCTATTTAATATAATAATGTTTGATAATTATAATAAAATCTCAATGACTTTATCAGGTCAGTCGAAGAGTTCTGAGATAAATACTACGCCAGAACCATTATTTCTGAAGAATCTAAGTCAGAAAGGGTATCAAGAGGATGTTTCATCTGATTCTGATGAGGAAATGTTATCGGGTAAGCTAATTTTTGTTGATTTTTTCCATTCACACGCTTTTGTAAAAAATCTAGCGTCAGCCAAAATGAAACAACAGGCACAATTCTTGTTATGGCTTTGAATCATTTTAATGACATGAAAAGTTGAAAAAAGTTAAACATCATTAATTTAGACTTGTAACCCATGATTATTATGTACTGATGGTACTGATAAAATAATTCTTGTCTAATTATAATTCTAATTCTATGTATATAAATACTTTGCTACAGTTCCGACGGAGAGAGGCTGCTATTTTGACAGGCTATAAAAGCTTAATTAAGAGGTTACAGATAAAACATTTTTAGGTGAAAGCAGGTCTAATCGGAAAAGGATGGCTAGCAATCCGAAAAATGGACGTGGCAAGAGGCGTAAGATAATTAAACCTCTCCTAGCTCTAACTCACGGCAGAATGAACTCGATCATTAAAACATGTAAACAAGAACTTGGAAAAAATGTGAAAGTTACGGAGACTCGCATTATGAATGACTTTATAGAACAGGAGAACTTGGGGTCTCCAGAAGTTAGGGTCTCAAGATGGGCAAAAAACAGGATTGTGGCTTATGTAAGTTTTCACAATCATAACATAACATTTGTCAGATAATTTTGTCAGATAATTATCATATTATCATAAAAGGCTGATGCTACCATATTGCTACAAATAATGACGAGACAAGTAAGTTAGTTATAGGTACTGCATACTAGTTTCCAATGATATGATTGTGGTTGACTCTCACTCACCCCAATTTGAGCTGTGTTTAACAAGATTGTGGCTTATGTAAGTTTTCACAATCAGTGGTAAATCATAGAATTTGTCAGATAATCATTATCATTTAAAGTGCTGATTACCATGTTACAACTTTGCATACTAATTTTCAATAACATGATCGTAGTTGACTCCCGCCAATTGGATCTGTGTTTAACGTCCACTTAATCTTTAGCGGAAGAAACTGTGTGATTTAAAAACGAAAAAAAAAGACTGCCTGCCTTTGGATGACGTTGTATTTGATCTGAAGGATAAGGTGAATCCAGTAGTTACCCGTGGCCCAAGGTGTCAATTTTCTAAAATGACTCGTGAAGGACAAAGAAAACGAATAATAAAAAGTTTTGACCGGATCCAAAAATCTATAATTCAGGTTAGTCCAATTTTTTCATCTGTGGAATTTCTTAATCCCATCAGGATCATGCATCATAACTAAGTAAATAGGATGTGACGTTATTCAATCATTTCACCATTTACTCAATTTACTAATTATTTAAGGATAGAAAATGGTGTATCCGTCCTTTTCAATGTTTATCGATCAATATTCTTAACTTGGCAAATGCCTAGATCTGTGACGAAGACGATATTCCCATAAAGACAATGAATATTCATCTGAAGAAGAAGTATTCCAGTGAAAATATTAAAAATGGTCCATCTGGGATTGAAGCTCCTGTGAGTAATTTTCCCCAGTTTTTATCATGTAATATTGTTAAATTAATCATCTGTTTCCCATATAAATTATATATTGATTGTAAAAAGTTTTTAGACAACAACATTGTAGGCAAAACTGATTGTGCGGCGAAATTCTAGTTTTTTACCACCAACCCATTTAGCGTAGACACCTCACAGCGAGTAGACCAAAGTGGCTCTTGCTTGTAAAAGGTGCGTCAACGAAGTCATGGATTGGGAGACCCCGGTCCCCCATGATATAATTTCGTCCATAAAATTTTATGTAATATTAACGATTAATTATCAGAATTAAATTTACATAGACAGGCCAATTACTCTATTTTAAATGAACGATATCTCAATGCATTGTACAATACAATTGTACTACAATTATGATTGATACAAGGCACACCTGAATTATTACTGATATTATTTAATTATGATAATTATTACTGATTTCAAGTTCCCCCTTAAAGTATGTATTAATTAATCCAGAATTCTCTTCAGATTTTATACTCTCACATAACAAGCGAAGTGAAGACCAAGGAAGAGGATTTGAGAAGTAAAACTGGAGGTTTTCTGTGTCCAGCATGTGGTGAACAACTACTTTACGACCTACGAGTACAAGATGAGGAGCACAGTTTGTTACATGAGTTTGCTGGAGGTTCTGCTCATGAAAATGGTCATGTTACAGAACAAGATGGTTGCTGTGTTCAAAATAAATGTGATGTTCTTAAATCAGAATTAAAAACTGAGCAGAGTGAATTCAATGGAGAGGCTGGAGGCTTTCTCTGCTCAGTTTGTGGGGAAAAATTCCTGGAGGAGGACAGTTTTATTAAGCATATCAATGATCACGTTAATAATTCTGGCAAACATAAAAGACAAAGATGTGATGAATTTCAAAATGACAGTAGTCAATGATCTTGGATCAGTAAAAGATCGGACATATCTATCATCTCTCAGGAGAGTCCAGATCCTCTAGCAAATATTCTTGCTACTAAAAAACAGTTGGAATGCCCTGATTGTTCATATGTAACTGCACGAAAAAGTACTCTTCAATATCACTTAACAACTCACACTCGAGTTAAACCATACAAAATATGTCCAGACTGTTCGTATGCAGCAGCTCAGAAATCACACCTCAAAGTACATCTGATGACTCACTCCGGAGAGAAACCATTCAAATGTTCAGTTTGTTCGTATGCAGCAGCTCAGAAATCAAATCTACTAAAACGCCAAAAAAAGCATGCTAGAAGAATTGAATCTGACACGAAAGAACTCATACCAAGTACCAACTTATACTGATTATTACGGAACATGATCATTATTGCTATTGCACGAAAGGCGTATCTTTTTGAACGTGATCAAAAGACTATGTCATGGTGAAAACCGTACAAACATTTCAAGTGTCCATTATGCACGTGCCTCTTTTTAACCCCTCCCCCCCCGGGCCCCCTTTCCCCCTCCATAATCTGTTAAACATAGCTAGTGAGTTTGTTTTCACTAGCGTAATCATTTAGATAGATAATCAGTGATTATACATATTATCATATCACCCTGTTTTTATCATTGTGTGTAACTCTGTTTCATTGAAGATTAAGACTTTTGTATAATGTTTATAATAGTAGAAATACTTAATACTGATGGAATGTTACAATTAAACTGCAAATTCAATTACAATTAGTTTCCATTTCTACAATTGCCTGATTTACTATAATATGCATCTGTTGAAACCACATCATACAAAACATTGTATTAATGAAATTATGATTGATACATGGCACTCCTGAATTGTGATAATTATTTCTGATTTCACCCTGAATGTATTTATTAATTAATCCAGAATACTCTTCAGATGTCATGTTCTCACATAAAGACCGAAGTGAAGAACGAAGAAGAGGACTTGGAAAGCAAAACTGGAGGTTTTCTGTGTCCAGCATGCGGCGAACAACTTTTCTACGAGAAGTATTTCCTTGAACATATCAGGGAACGTCATTATAAGGCTGACCTACGAGTACAAGATGAGGAGCACAGTTTGTTACATGAGTTTGCTGGAGGTTCTGTTCATGACAATGGTCATGTTACAGAACAAGATGGTTGTTGTGTTGAAAATAAATGTGATGTTCTTAAATCAGAAGTAAAAACTGAGATGAGTGAATTCAATGGAGAGGCTGGAGGTTTTCTCTGCTCAGTTTGTGGGGAAAAATTTCTGGAGGAGGACAGTTTTATTAAGCATATCAATGATCACTTTAATAATTCTAGCAAACGAAAAAGGCCACGATGTGCTGAATTTCAAAATGACAGTGATAATACAGGATCTGGGATGAGTAATAGATCAGACAATTCTACCGTTTCTCAGGAGATTCCCAATTCTCCTGAAAATATTCGTGCTGGTGAAAAGCAGTTGAAATGTCCTGACTGTTCATATTCAACTACACGAAAAAGAACTCTTCGATATCACTTTACAACTCACTCCGGAGAGAAACCGTTCAAATGTTCAGATTGTTCGTATGCAACAGCTTATAAATCACGCCTTAAAAATCATATGATGACTCACTCTGGGGACAAACCATTTAAATGTTCAGATTGTTCGTACGCAACAGCTAAGACATCAGACCTAAAAAGACATATGAGTACTCACTCCGAAGAGAAACCGTTCAAATGCTCAGATTGTTCCTATACAGCTATACAGCAGCTCAGAAATCCCAACTCAAAGTACATATGATGTCTCACTCCGGAGAGAAACCATTTAAATGTTCAAATTGTTCCTATACAGCAGGTCTGAAATCAAGCCTCAAAAAACATTTGATAAAACACTCCGGAGAAAAACCATTTAAATGTTCAGATTGTTCGTATGCAACAACTCAAAAATCAAATCTACTTAGACACCAGAAAATTCATGATAGAGGAAGAACGCATTAGGTCGAAAAACTGTAGAAATTTTTGGAATGATCTTAATATATAATGCTGGCACACGATAATCGCGTCTTTTTGAACATAAAAATAGTCGTACCGGCAAATGTTTATTCAAAACACCATATTCTGGTGTAAAATACATTTGAATGTTCACTCTGTTCTAAAGCTGTAATAACAAATTCCTAATTACCAGATACGACTTACTCGACTTCGACTTAGGGCGGCTTCAACGTCCGAACAGAGATAGTTTTTTTCCATATCTGTCTATCCAGCATGAGTTTGTTCATCTCCTTTCTGTCGTCAAGCCCCGTGTCCTTCCGAAGGATGTCAATATATGTGAGGTGAGGTCTTCCCCTTCGACGATGTCCTTGAAGGGGTTCCCAGAAGAGAAGTTGATGACTCAATAGTTAACAGATATAATATGCTAATGAGAATTATGTAATATTAGAAATAATTATATTTAAAATTATACTGCTGGTTTAGGTTCTTTGCGAAATGTTTGTCTAAATCGTACTATACCATTATAGGATTGATAAAGAGTATTACAATTAACAATGTGCCAGCTTTTATTGTATTAGAGTATTAGGAATCTTATAGAGCAAGTTCTTATATTTACATAATATCTTCCTGTTTGTATCATGGTGTATAACTCTGTTTTATAGAAGATTAAGATTTTTGTATAATTGTTTTAGTAGCAATACTCAATAATGATGGACGTTTCCATTGTACTGTAAATTCAACTACAAGCAGTTTACATTTCTTCAATTGTCCGAGTAACTATATATAAGTATAATATTGTAATGCAAACATTGAAACCTGGTCATATAAAACATTTTATAAAACTAAAATTATGATTGATACACGGCCCTCCTGAATTATTACTGATTTCCAGTTCAACCTGAATGTATTTATTAATTAATCCAGAATACTCTTCAGATGTCATGTTCACACATAAAGACCGAAGTGAAGACCGAAGAAGAGGATTTGAGAAGCAAAACTGGCGGTTTTCTGTGTCCAGCATGTGGTGAACAACTATTTTACGAGAAGTATTTCCTTGAACATATCAGGGAACGTCATTATAAGCCTGACCTACGAGTACAAGATGAGGAGCACAGTTTCTTACATGATTTTGCTGGAGGTTCTGTTCATGAAAATGGTCATGTTACAGAACAAGATGGTTGTTGTAGTCAAATTAAATGTGGTGTTCTTAAATCAGAAGTAAAAACTGAGCATAGTGAATTCAATGGAGAAGCTGGAGGCTTTCTCTGCTCAGTTTGTGGGGAAACATTTCTGGAGGAGGACAGTTTTATTAAGCATATAAATGATCACTTTAATAATTCTAGCAAACGAAAAAGGCCACGATGTGCTGAATTTCAAAATGACAGTGATAATACAGGATCTGGGATCAGTAATAGATCAGACAATTCTACTGTTTCTCAGGAGATTCCCAATTCTCCTGAAAATATTCGTGCTGGTGAAAAGCAGTTGAAATGTCCTGACTGTTCATATTCAACTACACGAAAAAGAACTCTTCGATATCACTTAATAACTCACTCCGGAGAGAAACTGTTCAAATGCTCAGATTGTCTTTATGCAACAGCTTATAAATCACGCCTCAAAAATCATATGGTGACTCACTCTGGGGACAAACCATTTAAATGTTCAGATTGTTCATACGCAACAGCTAAGACATCAGACCTAAAAAGACATATGAGTACTCACTCCGAAGAGAAACCGTTCAAATGCTCAGATTGTTTCTATACAGCAGCTCAGAAATCCCAACTCAAAGTACATATGATGTCTCACTCCGGAGAGAAACCATTTAAATGTTCAAATTGTTCCTATACAGCAGGTCTGAAATCAAGCCTCAAAAAACATTTGATGAAACACTCCGGAGAAAAACCATTTAAATGTTCAGATTGTTCGTATGCAACAACTCAGAAATCACACCTCAAAGTACATCTGATGACTCACTCCGAAGAGAAACCGTTCAAATGCTCAGATTGTTCCTATACAGCAGCTCAGAAATCCCAACTCAAAGTACATATGATGTCTCACTCCGGAGAGAAACCATTTAAATGTTCAAATTGTTCCTATACAGCAGGTCTGAAATCAAGCCTCAAAAAACATTTGATGAAACACTCCGGAGAAAAACCATTTAAATGTTCAGATTGTTCGCATGCAACAACTCAAAAATCAAATCTACTTAGACACCAGAAAATTCATGATAGAGGAAGATCTCATTAGGTCGAAAAACTGTAGAAGTTTTTGGAATGATCTTAATATATGCTGGCTCACGATAAGCATATTCCGACAGAAACGCAACCAAGGGTGTTAACAGTTCCAGATTTGGGACTTTTACGTTTGTGTGTAATGTCTGCAAGACACACTCTGAACAGAACTCCGCAGTCAGTGCTGAAAGTAAAGTCGACCTGATTGACAGGCGAGTAGATAATCTGACCCAATCTATGGAGGACATGAAGGGTTTACTTATGAAAGTTGTGAATATGAAAACATCTCCAGACATAACTGAAATTTCTTCTCCTTCATCTCCAGCACCAGTTGCCCCTTCATATCGCTCTGTATTAATCATGTCCAGCAAAACACCAGAAAATCAAGATCAAGATCGCAAAGATGTTGACAAAATCATCAAAGACAACGCCATTCATGCTGACAAACGGTATGTCAACAAGAAAGGGGAAATTGTGGTTGTGTGTCCGACAACGGCTGACAGGGAAAATCTTGTCAAGAAAGTATCCCAGCAACTTCCAGAAATAAAAACGCACCAGCCACCAGAACGTTTGCCCACAATCTCTGTTGCTAACCTTGCTGATAATTATTCTGAAGAAGATCTAGAAGACCTGATCCTTCAAGCTCACCCCAACATTAAGGCATTAAAATCCCAGGGTGAAACATTTTCCGTACTAAAAGTTAAACCTCAGATCAAAAACAGCAGCAAGCATCAAGCTACTATACGAGTTAGTAACAATATCAGGAAAATCATAGAACAACAGGGAGATCGGCTATACATCAGTTCGTTTAGTTGCAAAGTTTATGATCAATTTCATGTAAAACGATGCAACAAATGCCAAGGTTTTGGACACTACAGGTCGGAGTGTGAATCAGAAAAAGCTATTTGTGGTTATTGTTCCAAGAATCATACGTCAGAAGATTGTCCAGAAAAGAAAACTAATAGTCTTATCCCATGCTGCATTAACTGCTCTAAGGGCAAGTATCGGGATGAAAGTAACACACACACGGCATTTGATAGGACATGTCCAGCTTATGTTGCTGAACAGCAGCATCTCCGCAAAACTATCAATTACTACAGTTCAAAAAACTTGTAAGCAGTGGTCTGAAATCCTCTCCGACAGAGATTCTTGGCTGTTGCTGGAATGTGAGATCTCTCAATAATAAGATTCAACCAATCATGGAATCTATAATCGACCAAAGAATCTCTGTCCTTTTTGTCACTGAGACTTGGCTCACCAGCATGAAGAATGATGTTACTGCTACCATCAAGTCTTACGGCTATAACTTGATTCACTACATCAGGAAAGACTCCGTTAAATGCAGAGGCGGAGGAGTTGGAATTATTTACAATTCAAGTGATTTGAACCTTACTCCTGTGTTTGATAAGTGTGGAGATACGTTTGAAGCAGTTTTAGGCAAATTTCGGGACTCATCGGGTGATACTGTCCTCTGTGCTTGTGTTTACCGACCAGGGTCATTGACTGATGTATTATTTGAAGATTTGGATGAGTTTATTGGGAACATAT